CCCTATCTCCCTACTTGGCGCTCGGCGCCCAGCCTACTTCCTACACAGCTACAGTCTGCCTACTAATTGACAATGCAACCGTTGACGTCAGCAGCCCACACTTGATGTCGCCCAATGCAGACCATCGCCAATACCAGGTATGAACCCTCACATCATCCTCATCATCATCATCCTTCCTGTCTCTTATACACATCTAGATGTGTATAAGAGAAAAACATTACACTCAACCGACACATGTTTATGGTCATCACAGTTTATGTTTACTCATCCTCTCTTCAATGAGTTGATTGATTGTAAGTCTCACCTCTGTAGATGCACAGCATCCTCTTCTTTCTCGATCGCTAAAAGTCGCTCCGAGCACGAATCTTCTTGATCCGATTCTTGTCCACTAGATGGGCGATCCTGGCTTTTTCTGGTACCGAAGTCCACTGCTTCTGAAACTGCCTCCTCAGATCTTCTTCTCTCAAACTCTGCAGGGCAAGATTTGGCTGCCACAGCCCCACAGGCCCAGAGTTCCACCGTCCCAAGGTCCCACAGTCCCACAGGCCCACAGTTCCATCGTCCCATCGTCCCACAGTCCCACAGGCCCACAGTTCCACCGTCCCATGGTCCCATGGTCCCAATGTCTGGTGGTCTCACAGTCCCACATTCCCACAGTCCCATGGTCCAACAGTTGTACAGTCTCATGGTCCCATGGTCCAATAGTTGTACAGTCTCACGGTCCCATGGTTCCCTAGTCCAACAGTCCCATGTTGCACAGTCCCACATCCCCCCAGTTTTAGAATGCACAGTCCCACACGCCCACAGTTTCCCAATGAACAGTCCCACATCCCCACAGTTTTAGAATGTACATTGTACAACAAAAAAGAATGTACAGTCACACATCCCTGCAGTGCGAGAATGTACAGTTCAACATCCCCACCGTTTCAGAATGTACAGTCCCACATCCCCACAGTTTTAGAGAGAGAGAGAGAGTTTTAGAGAGAGAGAGAGAGAGAGAGAGAGAGCTGTCTCTTATACACATCTAGATGTGTATAAGAGACAGGTCCAAAGGTATGCAGAAAGCTAAGTGCAAAACTAGCAGAAAGAGGATTGTGGGTGTGTATAAAATTACTATAAATAGGAACGAGCGAGG